GTAAAAATGACTACCCCAAAATCGTCTGCTAATTTTTAGTGGCGGGTACTTTTTTGGTGGTTTTACGGTTTAGCACCACACAGCTGGTCAAATTTCCACATTGTAATATTCGTCGTTTATTCGAATAGAGATATCCTACTATGCGTGGACAAGAAGATTAAACGCGTTACAAATAATATTTATCTGTTAATTTGCAGTCCTGTCGTCCAGCAGCGGACGTCGATTTTTCTGTCTACCTCAAATAGGTGTTCTTCTAAAAACCAAGGTTTTTTTTCTGATAGGCGCAAAAATATACAAAATGCCTTATTGGCTCAGTATGCTAATTAAGGGAGACGGCTACTTGGCGTTCTATGACGATAGTAGAGAGTACGAGGATAGCATCACTACCGCTACCGCGAGTATTAAGCGCTTAGTACGAGTGGTAGTACGTCTTTTTACGATCTAAGTTTTCCGTTGCAAACAAAAACGCATCGACAGCGGACTTAACAAATATATTATAAACACACATGCTAGCATTAGCGAATGTTCTTGCATGAATACACAGTACTATATCAGCAAATCGAAAACCCCTCAATGAAACGAAGTCATCGGTGCATTAGTGATTGATAACTTCGAAGAAACGTGTGTTTCCTGTAGTACATACTGTACGTGTATGGCGCTACCTGTCTTCAACGAAGAACGCGGACGTACTTAAGCTGTGCTTGGGTGAACGGTGCGGGCAACGGCGTTTGAATGTGTGGGAGTATTTCCAGATGTCCTTTCTGTTTGGTGCGTCAACGTTGCTGTTGCTCAGACTTATGATAACAACAAAATACACCGAGTAATAGTGCATGGTCCGCCTTCAAATGACTCACTGTGAAGTGAAGGCCGGAAAAAAAGGGGCCGCACCACCGTGCGGTGATTGCCGCTGTAGATTCAATAGCAGTATCTCTTCGTCACTAACTACCTAACGTAACTTGCGTCGTTTATTAATAAACTATTTGTATAGTGTTAACTATAGGCGCTATAGAGAGACGCACGTATACATGTTATTCCATCATGTCAGGCTTAACTAGTTACTCTACCTGTACACTGTACAGTATACAGATAGAGTAACTAGTTTGTTGTAGTTTGATAGAGTATACTGTATAGGATACAGTATACTCTATCAAATGAAATATTACTGGCCAATTCTGCAAGGGTGTATCCTGCCAAGTTACATTCGCTGCCATGTCAGTTACGGTCATGGAAGCAAACAGACATTTACTGATACTGCGCTGAATCGTTCGTTCATTTATATTTCTCCATACAATAAAAGTTAAAACTTCTCACTATCATCCAAAATGTCGTGTGTATTTTGTACATGCACAGGCTACGTTCGGCTTGATTGAATTAAGCGAGCCCCTCACCGACTATCCTTCAATTAGATCTATTAGGAAGTTGCGTGAATAATTCTAATACGAGCTATTTCGTTAACAGAATACTCAGCTAAATGGATGAAAAGCCATGGCTTTTTCCTACATATATAATACGGGTTGAATTTTGACAACGCAAAACCGATGTATCAGTGCCAGTCCGCTAAACAACTTGTTTTTCCTTACCCGTCTCAAAGCTCGTCGCTAAACTAGGAGGATGCGCATTGTTTATAGCGGATTACATTTACTGCTACGAATATATAGTTACCTAAATCAAGGCCACATAGATATGAGGCAATTAATTCTTGCATTTCTAAGCTTACACTGATGTCCAAACGATGCTAAAAGTCGCTATGGTCCCTTCTGCAAAATTAGAGTCCAGATACTTTCAGCGGTTTGTACGACTATTATACTCACGGCTATTAACGCTCACAACTTGCGATTTGTTTAAAAAACTTCGTTGATACAAACAGGCCATAGAAATTTTAAATCAACTCATGGGCTTCAAAATTCACTACACAAAATCTGACAGAAACTGTGACAGAGACATCTGAGAGTTCATAATAATAAATCTCGGTAGATAAAATTATACTAGATGATCGCTTTCTAGGGGCACCCAAATAACGGTGATGGTGCATTTAGTAAGCCTGTTAAGTAACGTTCACTGCTGTGCGAATACGAACAATTCGCTAACATAAATTATATTGATGTTTATAGGGTTTTCTCTTAAGTCGTGATGCTATTTTAACTTTATTATAATTATATACATATATTATGATACGTTTTCAACGAGGAAGAGTTCCTTCTTAACTATCCGGAGCCGTGAAAAAGTTGGTCAAAGAAAAGGTTACGAAACGACGAGGTGCGCTGACTGCACAGAGCAGCGAAAGTAATAATAAATATAACGCTTAATGCAATCCTGACTGGTCCACAAGGTTGCCTGTTGATATCCTGTACTTGGCAAGAAAAACTTAGACCATATGTGTTATGCCTTTACTCGGTGTTTCCTGCACACTTGCTTTTCTGTGCATCGGGCAAGTTCGTTTTGTGGGCGGATGTTTGCGTTCGTAAACTGTATCGTCGAGGCAGCATCGTAGTGTAAGGATTTCTAGTTCTTGTTAGTCCTGCGCAAGTAGATAGGCAGCAAATAGAAAAGACAACTCATTGTTAAAAGAGAAGAACAAAGTTAACGCGGACAAACACATCGCCGAATCTTTTACGTTTATCACCCAAATGATAAACAGACCCCTTTTGCTGACCCCTAATCAGAGCCGTTCTTAGAATAAAAAAGCTTTACATACAATTGAAATGGATTACATCAGTTACAAGTGCTCTATAGTAGCACTAAACTTGCAGGACCAAACTCTCAGGCTCCGTCTGTTTTTCAGCGGCGGAAAATTGAGCTTGGTCTAAAATGCCTTTCAGGCGCATTGGTCTGCTAGCACAGAAATGTTAGTGTTTTGTAGCTCTGATTAAAGCAAAATAGTACAGAAAAATATTAAATAAGTCTTTAACATGTGATTGAGTTCGTTGAAAGAAATAGTCTTATTAATAAGACGCCGGAACGTTGAAGCGTCATTGTACCCCGAAACGCAAAAGCATCGGTCAAGGTAAATGGCATAAGCTATAGAGATATGCGTGAGTGAACAGCGCTACGTGGATTGAGCTCTTGCACGTTTCGAAAAAAGCGGCTCGCTTTTTCCACATTCAGGATAAAATAGTTAAACGTTAAATACTGGAATAATAAATAAATACTGAATTTTGAATAAATCACACTCGGGTTTTTTAGTTTTGCAATACAATTGTATAGAAATCTTCTATTATGGTTGAAGAATAGCGTGATACTGAATTTAACCTCAACTTCAGAGAGATAGAATACACTTTTCTTCTACTTACCCAATGAGACCACTGAAAGTGCCTCAAACAAATTGACGATGACGCGCGGTTGACGCTATAAATACAATAGTGACATATATCACCTATTTGCACTAGCTAAAGGTCATCGCATTGACGCACGTTCTAATCGTCAGATCTGAGAAGAAGCCAAAAGATTCATAGAGAAGATTCTCGATGTATCCTTGCAACACGAGACTAGACGTGACTAAACGTAAGATCTAATAGTCTATTGATAGATTGACATGATCAGGACAATCAAGCAATAGGCTCACAAAAAAAATAAATCAACCTTATACACACTTAATTTTTACTGTAGTCA